TAATCCAGGCTCTCAGGGGTGTGGAGGCCTTTGGAGACTTGTCCTCACTGAGACGTTTTACCCCCTGCTCTGAGATATCCCCAGAAATTATGGCTGGTAAAGAGCTCATTTCAGCCATCACCCTACTTAGGAGGAGACCAAGAGCCAGACAGGATCAGAGAGGGGAAGGAAACTGTCCAGGGTCACACGGCACATCGACGGCAGAGAGCCAGGGTGACCAGACAGGTAGTGAGTTAGGGAAGACTTTAGAGTCAGCAAATCCAGATTTTAATCTTGGCTCTGTCATATACTGGCTGTGTCACCTTAGATGAGTTATTTAACCTCCGTGAGCATCCATTTCTCCACCTATCAAATAGGGATAACCTCAAATTCACACAATTCTCAAGAAGATGAAAAGAGATTGCAATGCCAAGTACAGGGGTAAGTGCTTAATAAATGTTAGCTAAAAGCAGCCTACCTAAAAATGCAGAGAAGGAAAGCACAGAGGAAAGGTATTTTAGGCAGAGGCGAATGTGAGCGAAAGCATAAAGGTGGAAGAGGCCAAGATCAATTCTGGAAGTCCTTGTCAGCTGGCAGGGGTGGGACCCTGCAGTGGTGGATGAGGCTAGAGGTGGGCAGAGGCCAGGCCACGGTGGGCTGTGGGCTTTATTAATCCTGAGTGCATGATGGGGCAGGAGAGGAGGCGGTCACTCAGGCAGCTATAAGTTTAGAAAGTTCACCCTGGAGCCCGGCACCATGCCTTTGCTGACCTGCTATATGACTCCAAGCTGTCTCTATTCCTCTCTGGGCCTCAGCCTCCTACCCCTATAGCAATGAGGGTGACTCTGGTCACGGTTTGCAGATATGTATATTCCTTTCTGAATTTCCCTCTTTACTGCCCTTTCACCCCAAGGACAGGACGCTCCACGAGAAGAACTCTGGCATCTGTCCCCAGAACCTAGTGTTCCCAGCACCCAGCCCAGGGTCTGGCAAGAGAACATTTCTCATCAAATAAATGAGTGAATCAATGAATGGATGGATATTATCCTTTCTCTTTGGAAGGGTGAAGGTTAAAACAGAATCCCTCCTCCCCTCACTCACCCTACACACACCTCCGGGGTGTGGATACTGGCCCATTTGCCCATTTCCCAGCACCTTTGTTTTCTTTTCTTTCCAGAAAATGTCTTTGTTTCTATTCTTTCTGGAGAACAGAAATGCCTTCATGGTGGTAACGGTGGCTCTCCAGCTGTGTGACGACAGTGCCCTCGATTTTCTCCTTTATACATTTCTCCATTTCCTTCTATGAACATCTGTGACTTTTCAAATAGAAAACAATGATCCAAAGGAGGTGAGCAGACTGTAAAGGAAATGCAAACAGTTTCTAAAAATAAGGAAAAGTGCTCAGCCTCTACCAAATAAAATAATGCAACTGATAACTACCCTAAAAATCCGTTTTTCCACCTATCGATTGGTAAGGATCAAAGCTGGCTAATGATCTGTGTGGGTGAGGAAACGGCTGGTTCATGCCCTTCCGGTGGAGGGGAGAGGCATGAGCTTGGAAACTGGCCTCACCCCTTTGGAGAACAATGTGGCAATATATATGAAACTATCTAACGGAAATCACCTTCCACTCAGCTGTTGAACTTCTTGGAATTTACCCATCAGATATAATTACACATGGAAGAAATGAGGGTAAAATGTTACCCATTGCAACATTGTTTGTGATGGCAAAATACTGGAAACTTAAATGTCCATCAGGAGGAGACTGGCCAAGTACACAATAGTACTACTCAGCTTAGCAAAACAAATTAGCTAACGCAGAGGCTCTTATGTACCGACACCGTCCAGAATAAGGTACAATATATAAAAGCATGTGGAAAATGTACAGTACAGACTCACATATATGGTCATATGTGGTCTTCTTTCTGTGACTACAAAAGGGAAGTCACATATATTTGCATTTGCTTGTAAATGGATAAAATATCTCTGGAAAGATCCCGAAGAACGTGACTTTGCTTTTGAGGGAGGGAGATTAGGATGCTGGGACCTGAGGTGGGAGGGGAGCTTTTCACTGTACATCTTTTTGTACCTCTGACTATTTGAATGATATCTATTATCCATCCCAAAATATTAGAATTTAAAATTAAAATTAAAAGGAAAAGTTTTAATAAGGAAAGGAAGATAAATCTATTCTACTCCACCTCCTTTAAATTTTATGCCTACAAATTTCCCAGCAACACTGGGTATAAACATTGTCCTTGGAGTAAACAGAGGCCCAGGGAACAGGTGACCTGCCCAAGGCCACTGGGTGGCTTTGCCAAGGTCCTGGTCACCACTTATAACTCCCTGTACAACTGGGATGACACCAGGCAAGATCCCTGGAATTTTCTGTGCTGTTTATTGCCTTCCATGTCCGTACATCTACTTCTGTTTCTGGATGGAGCTGAGGTCTGCAGCTCAACAATTGCCAGGACGGCAAATTGCCATGCTCTAGAGATGGCCTGTCACTGGTCAGAGGGGAGGATTGACACATGGCTTTGCTCCAGGCAAAGGGAAAGAAATCAATAAATATCCAGGATTGTAGGCAAGTGGGGTTTTCCACCTTACACCCGAAGAGGGAGTCTCCCTCCTGGAATGTCATTTTCTCTGGGACCTCATTCTCGGAGGAATGGCCCAGAGCTCAGATGCCCCCTGTTACATATGAATCAGATGCCCCGTTACACATGAGAAAAACAACTTGCTGTATAGAGGACAGAACAGAGAAATAATATCTGTGACACCCAATGTGCTTTTATACTTCATAAGAATGGGGATAAACAGACATTAGAAAAATGGACCAAGGATGAGTGAAGCAGTTTATTGAAATAAATACCTGGAAAGATGCATTGCATCCAGGGAAATGCAGAGACAATGAGAAGGTACTCTACATCCAGCAGTCTGGGGGGCATTCTGGGAAGAGGGTCCCCTCCTCACACACAGCACAGGTTGCAGTGTTGAGAGAAAAGAACACAAACACTCTTGAACTTGGCCCTCCTAATCCGTGCCATCGCATGGCAGGAATGAGAGCCCCTGGTATGCACACTATCCACAACAGCAAAACACTGGTTATGTGAAGGGTCTTCAGCAGGGAAGTGGGGGGTGCATTACGGTACTGTCACTGCCACTGACTTAACAGTGTCCCCCACCCAGGATTGGGGAGAGCATGAGGGAGGCACAGAGGTTAGGAGTAAGGACGCTGGGGCCAGAGTTCAAATCTTGATTTTGCGACTCGAGCATGTGTCTTTATTCCTTTGTACCTCAATTGTTTCCCCACCTGTAAAACAAGGATGACCTTACTAGTACCTGTTTCATAGGATTGTGATGATTAAATGAGAAAGCGTTTAGAGCAGTGCCTGGCCCAGAGAAGCGTTCCTTAACCGTTTGCTAAGTCCATGTCTTAGAGGAATCCGTATAAGCTTCTTGTTGAGTAAGAAAGTTAAAATGCAGAAAATATTATCATCTGCATCAACAAGGCCCTGTAGATGTCTAGGTGTGTCTGTGATTTCATGAGCATAGAAAACTGTGGGACACGTGGTTAGTTGTCATGGATTATCATGGGAGGAAGGTGGGGGGAGTAAGCAAAAGAAAAACATTTAAAGATTCTTTATGATCATTTTTATGCAGTTATGAAATTATATACATGTATATAATTTATTAAATTAAATACATGCATATAAGAGAAAGTTTTCAATGATTAAAAAGGAAATCAAGAGAGGAAAGGACCTCTTTCTCTCCCATGGGGCCGGGCGGGGCACCCAGCTGTCAAGTGAGAGCAGAAGTCCAGCCAGCCAATGAAGGGATCTTCCCAAAACACCATTTATTGCCAAATCAAACAATCTCTGATAAATATTTACCCCTAATACCTGCAGGAAAGAGGGAGGGAGGTTCTAAAATCCCATCGGTTGTTTGAAGGATTGCCTTTTATCTGTGGAAATTTCCCTAGAGGGATGTTTGCAGCACCCCCCCCCACAAACACACACCCCTCCCCCTTCTGGGCCTCAGCTGTAAAAAGGGAATTTTCGAACTACTTTTTCCATGTTAGCAGTTGGGGCCAAGAAGGCAATAGTAAAAAGTTCTGAAAACTCCAGGACAAATGGAGCTTGTCCTACCCCCTCCCCAGATGGCTCTCCAATACACTTAAAAAAAAAAAAAAAAAAAGGCTAATTGGCTTTATAATGATTCATGAATCGGGCAGCATCCCATCTAGTAAATAAAAAGTCATATCTGCACAGCAAATCTTCAAGTGCAAATCTGATCTTGTCCTCTCTTTTAAAACCATATTTATTGTCATCCAAATTTAATCCAAATTTCTTTTCAGGCTAGGTCCTGCTGGATCTAGCATCCTGGCACTCTAAGGCAGCTAGGCCCAATCAGGTGTAAGTGCAGTTCTCTTGGGCGCCTAGTTCTCTCTCCAATCGTCTGCTTTTCATACATCGTTCCCTCCCCACCCGCCGCCTCGCTAACTGCCCCCATCCACAGACCTCAGCCAGGATGTTGCTTTCTTCCAGAAAGACTTCCCAGGCTGCCCAGGGTCGACGAGGAGCCCCAATAGAGTAGGTGCCTGATTTTTGGTCTTTTACCCCGCAATCAGATTCGTGAGGACAGAAGCCGCATTCCCGCAGCCTGCGGTCTCTGCGTTGATTTGGGACATTTGGGGCTGGGGTTCAGTGACCCCCATAAGGTCATTTCAAGCCCCTCAAAGCTGGTTCCGGCCTGGAGCAGAGGCTGAGGGCTGCTGACTGGGACTGGCTCTTTTGGGGGGGGTGCGGCTAGATCCTTGAGAGGAGGATGACAAAAAGAATACATGTTCACCTAAGGCAGAGGGACGGAGAGCTTGCCCCTCATAAATATGGGCGCTCTCTGCCCCGAAGTCTGCCCCTCACAAGGATGGCATCAGCGGGTTCTTATTGGTGCCTGTGGGCTCCTTGGGCGGCGCTGATTGGCGGGGCGTGTAGGGGCGGGGCGAAGCAAAGAGGGGCGGGGCCTCCCTGGCTCCAGCCCCGCGTGAGGTCGCCTGCGCCGCGACTATGTCGCGGGCACGCAGCCACCTGCGCGCCGCTTTCTTCCTGACAGCAGTTTCTCCGCGCGGTGCAACGTCCTGGATCGCGGCGCGGCGAGAGTTGAGCGCGAGGCCCGCGCCGCAAGAGCCGGGCATGGAGTATCAGGTATCTGGCAGGCAGGCCGGCGGTCGTGCTGTGACACGTGGGCTGGGCCTTGAGCCACACAGCATCCGGGTCCGCCAGCTGTACAGAGAGTACGGAGGAGCCTGAGACTGGGGGCGGAGACATCCTGGAGCCCGGGGGTGGGGACAGGGGCTAGGAAGCTGAGCCTGGGCCGCCGGATCTGGGAATTCCGAGGCTGAAGGTGTTCCGTGTTAGACTTGGAAGGAGTGCCTATTGATAGGACCAAGAAGTCCAGTGCCTCATCTGGAGTTCTGGTGTTCCAATCTCCGGAGCTCGAACCAGCAGTTGGGGATTCAGGAATTCAGACTTGAGGGATCCCGGAGTCTAGATTTGGGGTTGAAATCCCCAGGATTCAGGAGGTGGAGATCCAAGTGCCTTGGACTGGGGGGCAGACAGGAATCGGGAACAATGGGGCTGGGGCAAGAATCTGGAAAATAGAAAACTTCCTGTTGGCTTTATGCCAGGGGCCAGTTGCCAGAGACCAAAACTTGATGCTAGCCAGGCAGATGGCGCCAGTTCAATGGGGGTGGGGCCTCCGACCAGCCACTGAGGCCCTGAGAGGAATAAACAGCATCCCCACTCTCACCCCCGGTGTGGACCATCCTGAGGATGACCTACCTGCCTTCCTGGCTGGGTGACCCATGGGCACACCCTTTCTCCTTCCCAACCTCCTCCTCTTCCCCATCTGATGGCTTCAAGCAGCTCCTCTCTGGGTCAGAATGTGGAACCCCAGTCATCAGCGTTGGGCATGGAAGCCTTTAGGAATTCCTCATTCTAATTCCTCCACTTTAAGACCCTAACCTTTCATAGTTCTGACCCCATGGTGGACCTAATATGGTGGTGGACCCCATTGGAGGAGATGAGGAGCCTGGGGAGCTCAAACAGCAAGCAAGGCTAGTCCCATTAATCATGTTACCTGCTTAGTCTGGCACTCCCTGGGTGGAGCTGAACTGCCCCAGGCTCCCATCTCAGCCAGAGCGGGAACAGTGCCACTTCTCTCTCATGGGTGCCTAGGGTGCCTAATCTCTAGGCTGGGGCAACAGGGCTGGCAGGCAGGCTGGTTCCCTCGCCTGGCTGCTGGTGCACTGGGTTCCTCTGTCCTTATGGACCCCTAGTGAGCCTTAACCTGCTACCTGGGGACTGTGGTTGCCAGGATGCTGTACGCACACTCAACACCCTTCAGACTAATGCCAGCTACCTGGAGCAGGTGAAGCGCCAGCGAGGTGACCCCCAGAAACAGCTGGAAGCCATGGAGCTATACTTGGCACGGAGTGGGCTGCAGGTAAAGTGGGCAGGGCCTGTGAGCACCCGCCACTCTGTCTGTGAGTCCTATTGCTGAGGTGGGGACCTTGTCTGTCTGTGCCAGGTGGAGGACCTGGACCGGCTGAACATCATCCATATCACTGGGACCAAGGGGAAGGTAAAGGACAGGACCCAGGGGAGGCTATCCATTGGGGGGGCACTACACAGAAAGTTCACACAAGACTTTCTGCGTAGTGCCAGATGGGTCCCAGAGTCATCGCGGAGGGGGAATCACTTCGTGGATTGTATAAATGTCTAACTTTTTTAAATTTAAAAGAAAAATGAAAAAAAAAAAAAAGAACTTTTCTTTCTAGGGTTCCACCTGTGCCTTCACTGAACGTATCCTCCGAAACTATGGCCTGAAGACAGGATTCTTTAGGTACTGAGGTGCAGTGGGATGTGGTGTCTCTTAGCTCACTGGGGTCTGTGGAACCAGCCAGCCCCTCAGGGCCGGGGTCACTCCCTGGTCAGCTGCTTCTCTCTCTGCCCAATGTTTATTCACTCAATAAACATTAAATTAGCATTTACCACATTTGCTCAAGTTTAAGGCAGTCTTTAATTTTCACAATGAAAAAAAATTGGGAGGGCGGCAGCAGCTTGAATGTGTAAACTAAATACATAGCTAGAATGGTCACTTTTTTTATTAACTTAAATTCCATATACAATTTTTAAATCAGAAATATTTATTGAGTAGGGTGTCTTTGTAGTAAGGAGATGAAAACCTGGCTTGTAAGGACTTAAATGATAAGGGTAGGTTATGACATTTATGCTGCTTTCTGAGTGGGCAGTGGAGGGGAGCCCTCCGCTCCGCCAGCCTCAGCTGTGGCTTTGTCTTCAAGGCAGCACCCCCTCTTGGTCATACTCAGACATCTAGACTCATACCAGAAGATGGGGGACAGGGTAGATATGGGTCTCTCTTCCCTGGGCTGTACATGCCTCTTTTTTAGCTGGTCGGTCACCTGTAAAGCAGTGGGATTAACCTGGTGGTTAATTGCTCAGGATTTGGTCCTTGGGGTTGGGGCATTTAAGATTTTTGCCTCCTTATATGTAACCAGTTCCTTCAGGTGACTTATAAGCATCTGAAACCAGCTAACTGAGGTTATTTCAGGCCAGTGTGTTTTCCTTAAATAATTGTTCAAAATAAAGACTCATAATATGAGAGGCCCTTTGAGGATTCAAATATAAGCCAACAATCTCTCTTCCGAAATAAGTTTTTGGGTAAAAACCGAGCCCTCAACTTGGGCCCATGTGGCTGAGGGGGCACAGGGCACTCCCGAGGGACTCAGGAGAGGTGAGGCACAGAGGCCAGTGGCATAAGCCCCACTGGGGCCCAGGAGGCCGATGGAAGGAGCTGGAACCCCCTTGAGGACAGAGGAAGCCACAGAAGGGTTTTCAGCAGGCCAGTGTGACATGGTCAGATTTGTGTTTCCAAAAGACAGGTCTCACTAGGGAGTATGGGGAGGCCGGGGGCCCTTGGGCAGGGAGTCCTGATGACCTCAGGTCTCCCGGCAGCTCTCCCCACCTGGTGCAAGTGCGTGAGCGGATTCGCATCAACGGGCAGCCCATCAGCCCTGAGCTCTTCACCAAGCACTTCTGGCGCCTCTACCACCGGCTGGAGGAGACCGAGGTGCCCATGCAGGAGGGCTGGTGGGTGGGCAGGATAGGGGGTGCTGGGTTGGGTGGATGGACCTAGAAAGCACTACGCATCCCAGGACCCCATCTTCCCAGAGCAAAGCTGCAGGGGCCCCAGGCTCTGACATGCTCCTATCCACAGGATAGCAACAGCTGTGTCTCTATGCCCGCCTACTTCCGCTTCCTCACGCTCATGGCCTTCCACGTCTTCCTCCAAGAGAAGGTGCGTGCCCACTCCCCAGAACCCTGTGTCTGAGCTTTGGGGAGGGGAATCTCAGCAGGCTGGGGGCTCCCATGTGGCACCTGGGCACCCTGTACCCGTTGCCATGCTCTCTGGTCCTCTGCAGGTGGACCTGGCAGTGGTGGAAGTGGGTATCGGTGGGGCTTACGACTGCACCAACATTGTCAGGTAAGGGCAGCTGCTTGGGGAGATGGATGGTGGCAGGAAGCCCAGGCAGCCCAGGGCAGGGGCATCCTGATCCTTTTGTCTTCTGCAGGAAGCCTGTGGTGTGTGGGGTCGCTTCCCTTGGCATCGACCACACCAGCCTTCTGGGGGACACGGTGGAGAAGATTGCATGGCAGAAAGGGGGCATCTTCAAGGTGACCAGGCAGCCCCAGGGATGGGGAGGTACATGGAGGCCACGGCCAGGTCCTTCGTATCCTGACTCAGAACGAGATTTTGGACATCAGTAGGGTCTGGGCTATTGCCTCAGCTCTTTGTGTGACTGGAGCAAGTTGAGCCCGCTCTCTGGCCTTAGTCTCCCTATCGAGGGGTTCCCATAGGTCCTATGGAGGGAGGCTAAATGGCCCGCCCCGCCCAGGGATGTGGGGGCCAAAGATGGAAGACCTTTGGCACCCCGTCTTACTCTCCCCGTCCTCCACAGCGTGGTGTTCCTGCCTTCACTGTGCTCCAGCCTGACGGTCCTCTGGCAGTGCTGAGGGAGCGCGCCGAGCAGACCTCAGTGAGTCTGAATGGAAGTGCTGGCGACGTGCTTTATCCTTTCGGGCCTCAGTTTGCTCATCTGCGCGGTGCAGACCAGCTGTTCCTCCAGCTGGAGCGCATCTTGGTTCTAGGAGCAGGGCTTGCTGGGGAAAGAAGGAAGGGATGATGACATCAGGAAGGGCCTTCAGGCCAGGGTGGCAACAGCAGCTCCCCCGATTCCTCTACAGTGTCCCCTCTACCTGTGCCCACCGCTGGAGGCTCTGGAGGAAGGGGGGCCGCCGCTAACCCTGGGTCTGGAGGGAGAGCACCAGCGGTCCAATGCTGCCTTGGCCTTGCAGCTGGCCCACTGCTGGCTGCAGCAAAAGGACCACCGAGGTAAGTGCGCAGGTGGGTGGGCAGGCACGTGGGCAGGGGACATATGGAGCCTGCCTCTGAGGGTTCTGAGCACATTCAGTCTCACGTAGTCCTCCCCGGCCCCCAGGTGTCGGGGAGGTGAAGGCGACCAGGCCAAGCCTCCTGCGGCAGCTACCTCTGGCACCTGTGTTCCAGCCCACACCCCACATGCGGCGCGGTGAGTTGGACCTTCCTGCCCAGCCAGGTCCCTTCAGACAATTCTTCCGGTTTCCTGTTCTAGAGGTGGGGGCAATTCGAGATGGTGTCCAAGAGAAAGGACTCTGAAGTCATTACGTGTCCCTGATTTTGAGTTCATGGACTCTCGGTGAACCTCAGTTTCCCTACCTGTCTAGTGAGATGATTATAGGGCCCACTGTGACATCACTAAGGGGCTGAGCCCAGAGCCTGGCAGGTGCAGGATAAAGTACCCAGCAGTGGTAACTGCTGTTACCGTCATCCTTGTCATCAACACCATAAGACCGTGAGGTTCTTGAGAAGGGCAATGTTGTCAGACTTCTTGCTCTCCCCAAAGCTTTCAGCACATAGTAGGTGATCAGGGCTGTTTAACCCCTTCGACGAATGGGGTGCCCACATCAGGGCCATGACACAGTCCTGGAGCCAGGTAGACCTTGGATCACACTCCAGCGCCAGGGCCCACGTGTACTGTGACCTAACTTCTCTAAGCTAAGGGCTCTCCGCCTGTAACAGGAACTAATGTGTGATAGCCCCTCTCAGGGCTGCCTGGAGGATTCCACCAGGTGAGGCAGCCAGGGAGCTGATCCCAGTGACTGGCGCCCTGTAGTCGGCTCCGGTGCTGATCAGCTCCTCAGAGCGCTCAGACGGGGGCGCTGCGGGCTCGTTGTGTGTGCGAGTTGAGGGCTAGGGTGAGAGGATGTGGGAGGGCCGCCTCGCGACCGCTGAAAAGCTGCCTTGCCCACCTCCCCCAGGGCTTCGGGACACCGAGTGGCCGGGCCGGACTCAGGTGCTGCGGCGCGGGCCCCTCACCTGGTACCTGGATGGTGCGCATACCTCCAGCAGCGTGCAGGCCTGCGTGCGCTGGTTCCGGCAGGCGCTGCACCGCTGCAAGGAGCCCGGCAGGTGAACGCTGGACAGGGGCGGGGCCGGGGCGGGGCCGGGGCGGGACCCAGGGGACAGGGGCGGGACTGGGCCGGAGGGAGAGGCGGGGCCTAGGGGAAGGATGGTTTGTGGAGAAGGGGTGGGAGATGCGGCTCTCTTAACCCCTCCTCGCCCCTCTCTAAGCGGGACTGAGGTGCGTGTCTTGCTCTTCAACTCTACCGGGGACCGGGATGCCGCGGCCCTGCTGAAGCTGCTGCAGGTGAGGGGCCGGCTGGCGGGAGGGCGACAGTTAGCCCAAGCCTGCTTGTTGTGTGCCTCCCTCATTCACCCCCTAGCGGTGCCTTCCGCCCGGAGCCAACGCTTTTTCAATTCTAGAATGAGGTTAATTCCCCCTCCCTTGAATTGTACTGAGGATGAAATGTAAAAGCCTTGGACACATGGGGAAGTCTAGTCACTGGTCATGGCCCTCATCCTCCCCCATGGTCAGACTCAAGCCCAGAGTTAAAGGGGGACCAGCTAGTAGTGCAACGAACAGGCTCCGGACTCATTTGTCATGCCGCTTCAACCCACTAGCATATGACTTGGGACAAGAGCCTCAGTTTTCCTCCCCGGACAATGGGGTGCTACTAAGGATTCCTGCTTATCAAGTTTGATTTAAGGAGTTACTGGGCTAAAGCACGTAGGGGCCCTTCTCCGCTCGGGGAAACTGAGGCTGCCCTAAGCTGTCAGGGCTGAAGTGGTTCCTGGGGGTCATTTCCCGTTTCACAGATCGGGAGGCCAAGGCTGTTCATACCCAGAACCTCTGCCGTTTGTGCAGAAAGCCTTTGCCAGCCTGGATTTGGAGCCTGCTCAGTAGCTGGGTGACCTTAAGATGTAGCCCCCGCCCCAAGCCTTAGTTTCCCCATCTGTGGGGAATGCCACCTAGGCCACAGGCCAGGCAGGGTATACTGAGGTAGATGAGGGGCAGCCGAGGTGCTGTGTCCAGATTTATGCAGCATCCCTGCAGCTGAACTGCAGTTAGAGAGCATCTCCAGAGATGGAGGTGTATATGTGGGCTCCGAGGGACTGTGCGGAACTTAGGTCTGGGGGTGGGCATCTTCTCATGGCTCTGCCACCAAACTTTACCCTTTGGCCCTTCTAGCCCTGCCAGTTCGACTATGCTGTTTTCTGCCCTAACCTAACAGAGGTGTCATCCACGGACAACGCAGGTGAGAGGTGACAGGCATGGTCCCTGGAAGTGGGCAGGGGATGGAGGGTCCTGAGGTGGACTGCTCTGTTGGTGACAGTGGGGGCTTCTGATTTGGAAGTCTAGGGTAGAAGCTAGATCTGTTTTATTGTATAAATATCCTTTGGTACATTTTGAATATTGCATGCGACTGCAATACTAAAAAAGAATTATTGGGGAAAACATTTTTCAGAATGCAGATTACTACTCACCGATGGTTCTTGAAATCAATTTAGTAGGTCTCGACTAGCACTTTTTATTTTAAACGAAATAGAATAGAAAATATCCATGTGCTTTGCACGAAATAAGGTTAGGTGCTGTTTTATGAGGATTCTATTCCAGACATTATTATATACATACGTGAGTACTGTGGGTCACGTTCAAAAAAATTTGAAATAGTATTGTAAAAAATATAGCTCCCCATGCCCCTCATCAGACTGTCTAGGGAAAGTCCAATAATCTGCATTTCTAGAAATGCTTATGCCCGCCTGGCAATAGACTCTGTCTATTTTACCAATGAATGCAGTGACGCTAGGGTGGGGAGATGTGCTCACTGGGCAAAAGCCCCAGCTTCAAAGCTAAACTCCCTGGCTCCGCTTCTCAACAGCTCAGAGACGGTGAGCAAGTCTCTGAATCTTTCTGAGCCTGTTTCCTCATAGCATCCATTGTAAGGACTGATAATGCATATAAAGGGCCTGGCATTGAACAGGTGCTCATAGCAGGCCTGCCCTTCCCCTGTCCCCCACTCCCATGCCCCTCGATGACGTGCCTGTCTCCGCGTCCTGCAGACCAGCAGAACTTCACAGTGACACTGGACCAGGTGCTGCTCCGCTGCCTGGAACACCAGCAGCACTGGAGCCGCCTGGATGAGGAGCAAGCCTGTCCGGAGCCTGGCGGGCCCACGTCCTTGCTGCTGGCACCCCGCCCAGCGCACAGCCACAGCACCAGCTCCCTCGTCTTCAGTTGCATCTCCCAAGCTTTGCAGTGGATCAGCCAAGGTCGGGACCCTGTCTTTCAACCACACAGTCCCCCACGGGGCCTCTTCACCCACCCTGTGGCAGGCAGCGGGGCCAACGTACTCCGTGAGGCTGCTGCCATCCACGTGCTGGTCACGGGAAGCCTGCACCTAGTGGGTGGTGTCCTGAAGCTGCTGGAGCCTTCCCTGTCCCAGTAGCTGAGGCGGCGGGGTTGGAGGTGGGGCCTCCCCACATCTGCCCTGCACCTCTTGGTGAACTCCCATATAAGGTGCCTTTTGTTTTCTGCTTTCCTGAGTCTATCTAGACTGGCCCAGGGGCCTGGGCTCTGGGCAGTGAAATAGAGAGATGGTGGGAGGCTGAGATCAGACATTCTCTGAGCCAGTGGCGTCCCTGGCCTCCCCTT